CCTCCATTAGACCAGGAGGAATATAAAAACTGGGGACTGGCAGCTGTTCCAGTGGAGAGCTACCCAGTCAGATTTGTTTGCCTACTGTGGGACCTCCCATGTTCCAGCAGCATGTTCTTTCTGAACAATTTATTAAAGAGTTTTTAGCCTGTTGAGGCCAGAAATGAAGAAAAGATAATGAAAAAAGGAATTGGTGGCTTTTTGAAGTGTTGTCTGAAGCAAAGGTTCACTCTGGGATTTTTGATAGTGTATGGCACTTAGAGAGTAATGTTACCTACTGCTGCAGTGCCATAATGCCAGAAAAATGTGGTCCTAAGATAAGTTAGTATCATGGTTAAAATGTGACATACCTGGGAATACAAGAGACAATGGAGGTTGTCTCCAGCTGTAGTGCTGTGTTTTCCAGCTGAAAACACAAACCAACATTTACCAAAGATACCACAGCTGGAAAATGAATCATGCCCAGTAATGAGACCAAGCAAAAACCCTGTCCTAGGACAAGTATTTCTTAAACAAATATTGATTTTTTCTTGGCATCTCTATGATAAAACAACAATTAATTATAGCTTAAGAAAATATTGACATCTCCAGTTTAACAACGTATGTACATCAAACCTTAAATTTACACTGTATGAGCTGCAGGTGAGAAAACAATGTTTGTTTTCAGTCTGAGACACCTTTTAGTCATTCCAGTTGGAGCTCAGGTGTTCCCCTCCTGTGCCTAGCTGAACCCTTCCCTGCCAATAATTGTGCAATAAAACATGTTTTATGTTAAACAAAAGAAGGTCTGCAAGGAAAAGGACTTGAGAGTAATTATAAGGTGGTTTGATTTTCCATACAGTTTATTACAACAGTATGCTCATACTGGTGTAGGAGCTGAAGCCAGCAATACTGAACTCAGTGTTTTATTTCTCATCTGAAAACCATGGCCATGCAGCTTTTGTGTGCGGGTGTTTGTCTGGTTTTTATTTTTAAACAAAGGCCCAAGGACTATTGACCTAATTGGTCTCCACCTCTGGATTATGATTAACACCAGCTATGAACTATGAACACTTTGGCTGTACTCAGCTAAGTTCTGTCATTTTAATCACAAGTCAGTTGTTTCAGCACTGGACAGGTTACCACACTCATCAAAGTGGAAAAAATTTTGGAAGGCTAGAATGACCCTGGGAACCTGCATTAGAAATAAACCACACAGGCTTCATGCCAAAGGTGTCCAGCGTATGAATAGATAAAAACAAATGTGTCCTAGCACACAGCTGACTGCTGTGAGTTCATAGGCCCTCAGCACATAAAATTGCTTTCCTTGAAAGTACAACTATACTGTAGCATAAAATTTGCACTTGGTGCTTTATATGTATTGAAATACCCATGATCATCTCTGCACAAAAAACAGTAAGAAAGGCACAATAACAAAGGCAATGCTAACTTGATTGTTGGGCATTTGGAATAGACTGGAACAAAACCTTTATAACACAGAACACACATTTTCATCCCAGAATAATAATCACATAATTGTTCTTACGTTCCCTGATTGTTATCTCCAAAGCAGTCACATTGGCAGAAAGACCCATTGACTGTTATGATGAAAACGAACATTAGCTTTTTCCGGCTCATAACAAACAAGAAGTGAATTGGTGGAGTCAGCACATATTGTTGTAGTTTTTCCACAACTGTCTCCCAAAGCTAGCCAGAAGACTCAGGAACAGAAGAGAAAAGAAATAACACCTTGTATGTGCTGCTATGGATTGGGGAATGGAACCACTTGGTTTTTTTTCTTTTACATTCATTTACAGCAGCCCATAAGCTCCTATTTGTACCACTACGATGACTGCCTGATGACTGTCTGGAGAAGATGAGTACCAAGTTCTCTTCAAGTTCTCATGCTGCTAGAACATGATGACCCAACTTTTTTCTTCTTTTTAGCTCTGGAAATGCACTGAATAACCATTTTACAGTTTGTGACAATATACATATAGTGTTGACTTATCTACATAGTGAATGAGAACTGTATTAAGATACAGATGCCTCAGGCCTTACTCTGGCTCCACGGAGATAGGTGTTACTGACACAGCTATCAAAGTTTCAGGGTATAAGTGGGTATATTGCACTACACAGTTTGGCTGCAACACAGTCAAATATTTATTAGGTTTAGATTTTATGAGAGTCTTATTTGAAGAAAAGATTCATAGCTTCAAATTCCGCTCAGCTCTTACTCATATCAGATGCTAGCATATCCCTTCCTATGTCCTTCTTCTGCACAATTGTCTTTCAAATGTGAGCTTATGTTTTGTACTACCACCTACATTAAACAACATAATCAAGTCGTGAAAAAAATCTTACATAATTTAATTGGTTTTTGCACTTTTGTTTTCACGACTCCTGCCTGGAGGATGTCCTTTATATGTGTGTATACACACAGACACACACACACATATAGAAAAGATACATATCATATATATATATATGTAAGTGCTAATAAACGATTGTTGCCAATGATGCCTTTGCGAGGTAAGAACAAAAATATGCAGTTCCTCTCTAAAAACAAACAAACAAGCAAACAAATATAGCCAAATAGCAGCAGGGTGAATTAAGTGTCTTCTGGGCAATAGTTTTTGTTAATGTACCCACGTCTAAGACACACACAGATGTCTCCTGTTCCTACAAATCTATAGTGAAGGTGAACCACAGTCCCCAGATCCTACAAAATTTAATTGGGCATTCAGCTGGACCTAGTGGATAGTCCCAACAGAAATATCAGCAATAAGGATAAAGGCCACTACTTACATGAATAATTCATCACTCTGTTACATCATCACATCTGGGGACAAGGATGAGGTGCTATACCTACAAGATCATTACAGCTAAGCTGGTGCTGGATACAGGATGGAAAAGAATTATAAGCTGTGCAGTAGCTTGTGACATAAATTGAAGAGATCAGAGCCGAAGTCCTAACATTCAGCCTTCTGCTCCAGCTGCTGACTTGTTTACATATTCCATCTATATCCCAGTTGACATCTGTTAATGCATTTGCTGGAATGGCAAAGTTTGCAAGCTCACACTCTCCTAAAACAAAATAGAGTTCTGCTTGCGTAGCTTATAGTTTTGTCTGTCTCCATGTGTAACTTTTCAGAAACATGAGTTATAAAACCAGCAGTATTCCACCCATGCTCTTCCCATTTATTGAAGTTTCAAGATAGTTTTCAAGCTATTCTTATTTATAAAGCCCTTCTAGTTCCCTAACGATAGTAGTACATTTTAATTTCTTTTTGTAAGTAAAAAATACAAGAATAACTGTTGTGATACTAAATCACCACAGTTAAATAGAAGAGGCAATAGAACTACATAACATAATAGAACACAAAAGAACTAAATGCCTACAGAAGTTTTTAACTGTTATCTGAGAGCAATATTTTACCAAAGTTTAATTTCAAGTAGCTGAATGTGACATTTAAGTGAAGACCAGTTTTAGCAATAAAAGCAGTGCCCAAATCGTACTGGCTTCCTTGAGATAAAAAGCTCTTACGCGAACACAATCCATGAGCTATTATTCTAGTGCTTTTAGAAATTGTTTATATTACAGAGTAGGTTAACAGGAGCTTTAATACTTTGAAATTATTAAGAAGGTAAAATAAAAAGTCAAAGCAGTATTTGAGTGTTCTTCCACAGCTTGAAGCATTATACAGAAACTTCAGTTACTTCACATCCATTTGCATGAATTATGTCAATACACAACCACAGCTGACACAAATCCCGTATCTTTAGCAGTCACCATTAATGTTTTGGCAGGCTTGATTAACTTTAAGTGCAAATTGCTCTTGTGTATCTATGAGAGTGAGGGCAATCTGTCACGGAGTGCTGGGATGCGTCGCTGACAGTGAGATGATGGAAAGGAATGTATGTGGCTTCCTCTCTTCATTTCTCATTCCTAAAGTTTTGGTTGGTAATGAACATCCTGCTCAAAGTGGATGGCTAGTAATTTTTGCTTGTTAAATATTGTCCAAGAGTTTCAAAGGAGTGTATACATTTTTGTGACCCCGTCTCCTATTTTTGGAGCATTAATCTGAACATTTTGAACACTACTTTAATCTGAGGATGTGAACCACTAGCCTGAATGTGGGAGAATTTTGGACATTTGCAAACATTGGAACAATGACTTGATAAATTATTTACACTTGGACTTCCAATTATGCAATGGAGAACATACTTCTTTTGTATGATCAACAAATGATCAACAGCAATGAAATACAGCTTTCACTGAAAAGAAAGTCCCCAGATTTCTGTTAAGTCAGTGGAAAAAATAATTTATTGCAATTTCTTTTGCACATTAACATGAAACATTTATACATATATATTCTGTGCTGATCAGGTATACTAGATATAGACAAATTTATACACAAAGTAATTGCACTATCATGTTTTATAATGCAAATATTCAGAAATTATCAGTCAGATAAGAACAGGTATTATTCACATAAAATGCACTGTATGTTGAAGTTATGGAAGGTTCACGCATCTGAAACTTCATCCACTTTTACTAACTATATCAGCTGATAAAAGACACTATGTCCCCTTAGAAGATTTGCATCCTTTGACTATCCATGATGCCTAAAATACTATCAATCAGGTCCTCCCAAGGTATAAAATAAGATCATTTCTAAAAATTAAGAGAGACCAAACCAAAAGGCAACCGTGACTACCATGACTGGACAGCATGCCTTTCAATTTTGAGGGCTCCATCAGAAAAGATTCAAAGCACTACAGGCAGTCTAAAATTGTCCAGCAATCTGTTATTAACATGACAACTTAATTTACTTAATAAAAATCGATGACAAATACATTGCAAGTGAAGAGCATTTCAGGAGAAGTACATTGGCACATGCTTCAAATGGCAGTATCAGACAAACAACTGCCCCCTTTCAATACAGAAAATGCTTACATAGTGTAGACAAAGGGAAAATACACAGAATGGTATCAAAAGAAGAACCTTTTTCTAACCAGGAATTTACAGTGCATCAAGTGTTATTCACAACATGAGTGGTAAGCATGGTAATAATAGAACTAAATCTGATAAACAACATTCATACAATAATTTTCATAATGCTGCTTTAGGTATTATTCTTTAAAATAGTTCTTCAGGTTCATTGTTCTGCCCAACAAATGAAATACCTATCCTTCCAGAAATGTCACTGATTGACATAACCACAATACTTCAGAGATGAAGATGAAGATGTGAAGCATCACACTGAAGTGGTTAGTTGTAGCGTGCATACTACAAAATTGTATTCAATATTATTTGGCAGTAGGAAGGGCCACATGACTGACGTGCAAAAATGTGTATCAAAAAAAGGAAAGCTTGAAATACATGCTCATAGCAGAGATATAACAATACCAAACATCAAGGAAAAAAACAAAACATAGCAAGCGAGCCTGGAGAAAAATGGTGAGTATGATTTCAGGAGCAGGGCAAAAGACAATGGTACTGCATGTGGCAATGGGAGATATGATGTGAAATAACATCCATAACAACCTTACTGCCTGGTACCCTATTTGGAGACAGTATTGTACCCTATCCAGCGTCCTCTTCCTCTTCTCTCAGCTTAGAGAGCATCTTGATTTGTTTCCTTGAACGCATGCAAGTAGAATTTGAGAAGTAAGGGATTTTTTTTGAAGCAACAGCATGGTGGGTCAGTGCAGTAACAAAATACATTTTTCAACTTGCAACTAGTAGCAGTAAATAATAAAAATAATAAAATACAAAATAGATAATACACCTATTTCTTTTGTATGTGTTTTATGTTGGAATGTAATAATTCCTACATTCCCTGATGAAATACCAGCTCTGACTGGGATACTTTAACTTGTTCCCATCAGTAATGTGGGGACAGAGCAGAAGAGAGATATCTGAAGGTGGAGAATGATGGAAATTGAAGTCAAACATGTGAGGCTTTCTGCAAGCTTTATTTTTTTATAACAAATCTGTTTCTCAAGAGAGAAGCTGCTGCTGAACTTCTGTTAAAATAATAATGATAGTAATAATCTTATGCAAACAAGTGGATGCAAAATTAACAGTTGGTCCCTGTTACTTTTGTTCTATGTATATTTCTGATGCAATTCTAATTTTTACTGTAATGGTATCATGGAAGAGGTAAGTGGAAAAAAGTAAAGAAGCAGCAGTCCAAATCGACACTGATTCTTGTAAATCAGGTGTTTCTCAGAAGTAACTACTGCTCCTGGTGACTGATATTAGAGATGTCAATTTAGGAACCAAGTTTGAGTTATGCTGACCTGCTCCAACCTTACCATTTTCTACAGGTTTAGCAGAAAGACACCATATTGTAAACCTTGGCTTCACATCTCTATGCCAGCTCTAAGTATTTTGTCCCCTTTCCTCACCATGTATTAATTACTAGGCTTAAGGGTAAAATATTACGCTGATAGACCTGCAAATGCTGAGGTAATTACTCTCTAAGGGATATAATGGAGAATATATCACTAATGTGAATCTATCGTAGATTTAAAGATATTGGAGGTAGAAAACATCACAGTAAAAGAACGATCAACAGAAATATCTTCAGGATGATTTAAGAAATATTTTCATGTTTACTTCTGTAAGCCACTTTTGCAATATTCTGGAGTGACTTTTCAGGAAATTTACCATATGGTTTCTGAATGTATGTTAGCAGGCCATATTTATTGTTATGAACAGTCCCCCTGAAATTAACAGCACTGCACATCATAATACATTAGCATGTGCATGTATTTGAAAGGTCAGAGAGAATAAGATTCTGAAAAGAAAAACAAGACTAGACCCTTGCCTAAAAAGTCTAAAGAAAAGCAATTACTCTAAGGTAATCAAACATAAAAAATCGGTTATCTGATTTCTGGTTTTGTATTACAACTATCATGTACAGCCCATATAGTGCCAGAAATAACATGAAGAGTACCTTCACAAGACAAAGAGAAACTGCAAATAGTTCAGAAAAACTTAAAAGGATAAAACTCAGTGCATCTTTTTGTGTATAGACAGATGAAGTCATGCAAGTGAAAAAGAATTAAAAGATTGTAGAGGATTATATTCTTTCACTTTTCAAACATGTGTGGGGCTTAAACCAGGAAAATACCCACCTGACTCAGTAACCTTCTGAAATTTTACATTTAAAATTACAATGTGCCCTGGTACAAATGGCAGGATATAATTTGTAATGCAGAAAAAAGTGAAAGGTATTTAATTAAAAAATATTTTAAATACAACTATAGATTTGAAAGAACAGTAGCCATGTGAAATTATAGTTAATCTTGATATAGAATAAAAAATGGAAAGTATTATCAAAAGAGGCACCCATAACATTATTGTAAGTAATATATACTAAAATCCAGACTTCAGCAGAGTTAAAGTACAGGCTCTCCCCTGAAGTTTAATACTGGGAGTTACCATTAAAAAGTATTCAAATACTTGGGTACCAGTGGTAGTAAGTCTTTATTAGATCTACTAAAAAGCCCAAACACTTTAACAACCTAAATTTCATTTTCAGAAGCACATCAGTATTTAGATGCATAATCGATTCCTGTGACTTCAAGAATAATTTCAGCCAAGGTAACTGATGACTTTCATTATTTTAGTCAAGTGTATTTTTAAGATTAAATACATTAGCTTACAACTCTTTGTATTAATTTAGGGCAAAATTCAAGCTATGTAAATTACTTTTACCCCTTTTTTCTCCCCGCTGGCAATGGGTAGGAATGTATGCACCTGCTCAGCTACAGCAAATCGGCTGGCATACTGTAACCTGATTAAATGTCTAAGTTTGTAGCACACTTATGAGTCTAGATGTCATTGGCTTTCTATGAGATTTCGGTTAATACATGCCCAAATTTCTGAAATTGAGGGATAAGCTTCAAGACCATTCAGTGCTTGAAGAGCTTTACCTTACATCATTTTGAGGAGAAGATTTAGGCTCATATGTAATTTAGAAGAAATAGTTTTCACCTTGTGTATTTCTAAAACAAGACCTCTATTATGCAACAGTCTCTGAACAAGCAGATCCATCTGGGGTTAAATGACCACCGTACTCATCAGGTGTGAAACTGCCTGGAAGTAGTTGCTGGACTATTGCCTGAATATTTGAAGGCACATTTATTCACCCACTGTAAGAAAGTAAATGGTGAATTTTGAACTGCTGATAACCAGACGTGCCAGCTAAACACAAACATTATATTGCAAAATCTAGTACAGTGAAGAAATCCGTAAGAAAACTGAGATATAAATATTTAAACACTTGGCATTCTCTCAAGGACTTTTTAAAGTACAAAAATATTTTTTCAGGGACTGCATAAGCTGCAAAGACAAATAATCAAGGACTTTTATGTGCTGTCAAGATAGTAAACGGATTAATGATATAGTGTTGTACAAAACTCCGTTTTTTCTAGGGAACATTTAGTTTTGAGAATGCAAATGGATATCAGTGGTTTAGATTAAATTTGTCATATTTATGCCTTGTTTAAAGAAAAAATTACATGCTGGTTAGTCATACCTCTGTCTCTGTACTCTTTCTGGACAAAAACCAAACCTGCATTGGTTCTTTTTTACCCTTCATAGAAACTGGACCCCTGTACTCCAGGTGGAACTGAGGATCTGAATTTTCTGGTGCCATGAGACACCTGAAATTAAAAGAGAAAACATGTAAATGTATGTACTCTGCATGTATGCCACATACTATATAAAATATTAAACATGATACAGATATGTGAGCAACAAAAGAGTCAAAGCTATCTCCAGATCATTATTGTATTTGCATACCAATAAAGATATATCATAATGCAGTCTGCCATACAGTTTCATGAGATCTGATATATTTAAATAATGTGTTGCAGGACTCCTATCACTTTCAACTTGAGACACTTTGATGTTACGCTGTCAGTGTGATTTCTTTCAAGATGTCAACACCAATAAAAATACTGCATTACTCACCTGTAAGTATATTCAGAGACATTGATCTTTCCCTTTTCTCCAGTAGTTTCTGTTCTGCTTGTTAGATTCACAGTATTTCCAAAGAGACAGTAACGTGGCATCCTTTGGCCTATGACACCTGTGACTACCTCACCAGTATGGATTCCTATTGTTATCTTTAGAGAGAAAAAAATAAAGTTTGAATATTCAAAATCAAAGCACCTAATCTGATGCTTCTTACTAAATACAAGTATTATGCTATTTCTATCTACTTGAGGGCTTTTTTTCTTTCAAAGTGCTCCTCCTGCTTCTTCAAAGCCTTGCATTCCGTGTTTTGTGTCACTTCTTTTTATTGTAGTGCAGTGTCATGGCTCTGCCTCCCACATGAAAGAACAAACTGTATTCTTCCAGCATGCAACAGGCCATGCTGCAATTATGTACTGTGAAATTTTAAAAAATGTAAAAGAGGCATACTCTGCAGATCTGTGTTTAATGAGTAGTCAGAAGGAGCAGAAATGGATGTTTTAGGTCAAACAAAAAAGATGTTTCTCGTATGAAAACATCATAGTATTTTTTCAGTTAAAAGCTCAAGAGGAGAGGGGCTTGGAGAAACTCATTCTTGTAGCACATTACAATTATTGTAAAGCCCCAAATCAAACCTTCTTGCTTCTTTGCCCAGTGACAAAGTACACAGATCTAAGCTAGGTGTTAAATCAGTAACATTCATGTAACTAGAAATATGCATCAAACAGTATTTTGCTCTCACAGCCTTCCGATGAGAATAGGTCAATGCAGCCTCCCCACTTCAAAAATATCACTGAAAGAATATTATTGTTCTGTTCATTGAGACAAAGAAGACTCAATGAATTGTACTTGATACACAGTGGGAATTTCCTGATTAGATTGAAATGATTGGAAAACAGACACAAATCATGCAAACCTAATTTAGTCCTTTAAAAGGTTAAGCACAATAATTAGATTTTAAGGTCTGGGAACTGAATGTGTCACATCTACATGTGACCCTCCATATTATTTGTAGGTATCAGTCTCAAAAGTTAACAGTTTTAAAGCTTGCTTGAACTGGGACTTGAGCATTATCTTATTTCAAAGTATTACCATCATATTAAAGAATGGGCTCTCATTCAAGCCCTCACATTTACTAACCTGTACAGGCTCACCATCTACTTGAACTTGGCCTGCTATTTCCATCATATCCAATGCAAGGTGGCAGATAGATCGAGCATGATGAATGCAAGGCTCAGGTAGACCACTCACTGTCATATACTTGTCCCCAACTGTTTCCACCTATCAAGATAAATACTTTTCAATTACTTTATAATCATGGGCTTTAGAGTACTAGAATGAACATATTGCTTCCTACAAGACTGCTTGTTCTTTCAGAAAGCTTCTCTTCACTTTCATTCCAATCACCCTAATCCTCATCATCTCTACTTGTTACTGAAGAGAATGTACTGTCTGCCCACAATGTAACCAATTAAAATGACACTGTAAGCTAGGAATTAACCTTACACACGTAAGCACACAAGCATACACAGGTACATATACAATGTACGTATCTCTTTACCTGTCTACCTGCTACCAGCCGCATCTGCAACTACACCTCATTCCTAATGAAATTCACATTATGAATAACTGAATAATAAGTTATAATTTACAACCAGGAGGCTCAGGTATATGACTGAAAAATTTAAAAGCACAGGGTCAGCAGAACCATAAACTGCTTGTTCACATCTGCTAAATGTAGAAGTAGATTTGCATATCCACCTACTGTGTGACTGTGCAGAAATCCTGCTGGGAACTAAAGCCTCAATGTTCCTTCAAACATTTAAACAACATACTCCTCTTTAGCTATGTAATAGCAATTTACACAGTTCAAAGACTGCAAACACAACTTCCTTTTTTTTTTTTTTTAAAGCCTAAAATCCAAAGGATGGAAGAGACTAGCAGGATAGTAAGCTATTGAAAAGTCACAGATTAAATACTTTGAAAAGCTTCTGCTTACCTTATAAACAAATGGATTCCGTCGTGAATCAGTCAGAATATCAAATCTCGTGTAAAGATCATTTAAAAGGTTCACAATCTTCATGGCTCCCTCTCCAGAGGCATGTTTACTACAGAAGGCATTGAATCCAACAATGCCACTGAACAGAATAGTCACATTGTCATACCGCTTAGCTGGAACAGGACGCTTGTGTCTCAGCTCATTTGCCACTGATGGTGGCAGAACAGAGTACAGTAATCTAAATGTGTAAGAAAAGAAAGGCACAAGCAAAACAGAAAGAATGTGAAGAAAGGTCTTTACATCAGCATTTGTCAAATATTAACTTAGTACCTTCCATAGGGTTTGTAAGAGACCTGCATGATCAAAGAACAATGTAAGATGTGCTCGCTAAAGAACATGTTATTTGGGAAACAGGAACTGATATATATCAGCATACCTAAAGCCATGCATTTCAAACACAAATTAATACATCTAAATTACCAACAAAATGAGGCACATATTACTAAATCTTCTGACATGATCTGTTAGTAGTGTCTTGGATCATTTTTACTTATTGCATAAGCATTTCTGCTCTACCCTCAGCTCATCTAATCTGGTTTTCCTCACTGAACCACAAATATGGCAAAAAAAGGCCACGAAGAGATCAGTTTTCCACCTTTGATCAATTCTTGCATTGCTAAATGCTTCCCCTTCTGTTGAGAATGCTGCTTTTAGGGCTTATTGCTTGTTTTGGTTTTTTTTTTAATTGTCTACATGGCCTATTAACACTTGTTTCAATTTACAAATTATGCAAATAAAATCCAAATCACACACAAAGAGCTTCACCCTACTCTCATGTGTATTCCTTCAACTTTCTAACTGACAAATTAAGGTGTATTTCCCTCTTTACACAGCTAAGTGGACAAGCTAAAGATCTCTGACTGTTTCAGAAATCTTGAGCATTACTTTGTACACAGCCTCCTGCACAAACCCTTATCAGAGTTTTTGGCAAGTTCACTACTTCATGTGTTATAGCTAGTGAATACTTTTGACACTGTCTGTTCCAGCAGCTGCCAAGAAGGCTAGAATTCCTGAAGATAAAGTGACTTTATAAAGCAAAGCAACAGGAATGAATAAAAAAAAAAATATTTTTTTAGGCTTGTCCATGTCTTTCAGATCTTTTTACAATAATTTCCATTACTACAAAAAAATAAAAATGTATCTATCCACAGAATTAATAGCACAATGAATATTAATTCTACTACTAAACAAGTATAATCCACAAGAAATTCTTCTATTACAGAGATGGGAACTACATTTTAAAAACAAGAGTCAATCATCAATGCCACACTGTTTGTAACACAAACTTTCAATTTACCTGCCAGCAGTCCTTGAGCTGAGCTGCCACAGACTAATGCTATGAATTTGATTTTACAGTTACCTGTAGAAATGGATTTGGGGCTCAATGCACACACTTTATTTGTTGTGTACTTATATCTGGATCACCCCAAACTCACTTTTACAGGTAACTATAATACAAAATTTATAGCATTAGCCTATTGCAAAACTTCACCTTTACACAGACTATTTTTGAGGCTTGCAAGATACGTTTTTCTCTTCTATTAACCTGTAAGCATGGCACTCCAGAAAGACAAAGTGGTCTACAGGTGGTTTACAGAACTCTGTCAGACAGTAGCATATGGCCACTCACTAAATTCATTTTGGCTACAAGGACTGAATGTACAAAAGTTTGTAAACTACTTGTTCAGGTAACTCACAAAGCAAAAAGGATCATCAGTTCACTTCTCATAACTTTCTTTACCAGGGAGGGAGCAATCAAAGCACCTAAGCATGTAATAGCCTAGACTGCAGATCACATTTGACAATCTAAATGAAGAAATACCCTATGAAGCGTTAAAGTAAAATGTTCTTTCTTGACTCCAAATTTAACAGTACTGAGTATCTCTCATATTCCTTCCAAGATTCTGTTATTTTTTGAAGAAGACAGCTATAAATAATATATTGCTGTGACAGTTTCAGCTCAAAATCAGGATTTGGTTCTTACGTGTCTGTCTTTTTCTTTTCATCTTCCAGTGCACGCAGTGTGTGCTGCAGTCTGTCAGTGAGGATCTCAAGCTCTTGAGTCAGTTTATATTCCTCTCTGAACTGCTCTCCCAAAAGTACCAGATCACGGGTAGCATCATGCAATGGAATATCACTCAGATATAAACCTCGCCTGGTTAAATCATCCAAGTTCATCACACTGCAATGTGAAGAAACGTATAATAGTATGTGTACAATTTAACTTGCTGAAGGAGCATTTGAAACTCAAACGAAAAGCACAGGCTGCTGAATAACAGCAGAAAGATGATGCTTCTGAACTTGTGATGAGCTGTACAACATGCCCCTTCTATGAAATACCATATTTGTGTTCATCCATGTTAACAGATGGCTCTTGATTGTTGTATTTAAATACAGAATTCTCATTGATGAGTTCCATGAATGTACCAAATGTACATACTTCACAAATAAAACCAAGATTACACCAAAGTAGCCTCTTCCCCTTCTGTCTTCATCCACACTTTCCCTTTCACACAGGAGATTATCATAACTGTAATCTGATGTGTTAGCTCAACGTGCTCTAACCTAAAGACGCCCTCCATTCAATCCCCCATTCTAACCACTTCTTTACAATCATCAATGATCTATTACATTAAAACTACTGAAAAAATATATGAATCCACATAGGAAACCAAATCAGTGATGTTTCTTAGCACTCTCAGAGTAAGAAACAAAGGACAAAACTTGCCGAAAGTCCTGGAACCATGAGGAATTCGCATTTGTACAAACTGGGACAAGGCATCCCAATGTTTCTACTGAATCATTTAATAATCAGTCAAGTTCTGATATTTAAATGCTCCTCCCTCTTTTAGTATAAACACACTGAAAACAATGAAATCAATATTTGAACCAATTAATCTCTGTACTACTATTCTCATAAGTGTCCTTAATATTAGTAACTGTAAAATGAAAATCAATATTGTAGAACTCTTAAGGTACCTTGGTGAACAAAGAAAGAGAATGCTGTCTGCTTCAGGCAAGTAGATCATTTGCCCTTTCAGGCGTAAGCAGCTGATTTCTGTGCCAGTCAGTTCATCTTCACACTCCAGCTTTTCCACATCCAACAGCCCCTCCTGGTGATAAAAAGTCACAATTATATAAGGGCAATGGTACATGTGTTACACACCAGGCCACATATGTAAGTGACGTCACTATGAAGGCAGTCAATGTTTGGAATAGAGTTACACCCTACATTAAAACCCAATTAATTTCTCATTTGAACATCATACACTACCTATATTTCAATACTATGATTTACTACCTCAAAGATACACAGCATGGTATCTTTCTTTATGTTAATGTTTGTAACTTCTTTTCTTCTGTGTCATGTCTTCACAACAGTTTGACAAAAGTATTGCCTATTCTATGAAGTTCAGTCTGTGCCTGGGAGCATCTCTAAGAAATCTTGTTGTCTTTCTCTCAGGTACATTTTTCTATAAATAAACAGGCTCCTTGACATAGTATATGCTGCTCTACAAGCTCTACATCAGCCACCTGCTCTCCTGCCCTCTCTAGAGAAAAGGACACATAACTGTGTATGAACATATGTATCCAAGCAAGAACACATTTCATATTTGTCTCCCATATTGTTATGAAGCAAAAGTAAATGTAATTATCTTTCTACATATACTTTAGTACAATGCCATATTATGGGTTGGCCCCTTGCAAAGAAAGCATCAGACATGAAGTATATGTACTTCACCATGCCTATAAAGTGATCTACTTGAAAGCCACACATAAATTCACACCTGTGACTTTTTCTTGGCTCAAAAGGGACTACCACTGAGCAAAGAATTTTCTCTGAAGACTTCTGATCTTTCAGCACTTTTTCGTATCTCTTCAAAGCATATTTACTTAAAGAAAAGCCAGGTGAATATTCTCTAATTACCTTGGTCCTCAGTACAAAGACTGTATTGATATGTGAGAGGATCCCATGGAAACTAATATCAATATGAGGCCGGACCAAGGAGAAAACTGACAACAGACTGCAATTTCCTGGCTGCAGCTAGAATTGGGGAAAAAAAAAAGATTGTTATGTTTTATAATAAAATCAAACATGACGTAATTATATTCAATTTGCTTAGATGACAATACTGAATGGAAGAGAATACATGCTTTATGCATTTCTCCATTCAAATACAAGGGTTTTGAACTAAGGATTTTACATCAGAAGTATATCAATTTCAAAGTGAAGTTCTAGTCAGCAAGATGGCTTTGTAAAATTCTGTTAAGACTGTAACATTCATTATCTGTTAAAATGTTCCCACTCTACAGTAAAGAAGCTTTCCAGTGTTTTACTCTTAACTGACCTCCTTTAAAGTACCTTTTCAATAAGCCATGTTCTCTAAAGCATCCCCTCTGATAATAAGGATACTGATACATATATATACACACACCTCACAAATATAGTTTGACTCATCTTAGTTAATACTGATGCTTTTGATGCACAAGCCAAGAAAGCATGCTAGAATTTCTGTTATTCTGCTCTGCAGTTATTGTGCACCCAACAGTTAAAGTATTCAAAGACATTACTATCAAGTAACATATATAGATAATGTTATCTGCTGCTACACTATACAGTAGCATAGGCAAGACCATGTCCTGAACCCCATGCCAAGTTGCACTGACTGTATCACATCCACTTTAACAAGTTATCTACCACTTTTACAGCAAATGTATTTTGGAGTGACCTACGAGAAAGAATAGGGTATCAAGCTAACATTTGACTTGTGGGGGTAATCAGATTTTCTTTGCGCAAGCTTATCCTCTTACTGCATATGGACATGATCATAAGAGACAAAGCTGTTGCAGAATTAGGGCTATTTTCACAATCCTTTTCAAACAAGAGGAGCACAATGTAGTAAATATTATACACTTACACAGGAATGCAATTTAGATAGATAGAGAATCCTAAATCTATTTTACTAATCTTTAAAATAAACCCGTGAAGCCTCTACTACCAGGAATTTCTGTTATTATTCATGCACAAGAATCATCTAACCTGTGGAAGGACTCTGTATATAGCATTGCCACACTGCGTGACCACCAGATCTCTGTCAAATATTATGTGGAAAGGGAAGGCCTTGCAGAAAGTATAGGGACTGATGCGAGACTCTTGGGTACCATTTTCTTCAAATCTGTCAAGGTCTTCATAGTAGTCCTCTTCTTTAGACTCCTTCTCTTCAATTAAAAATTGAATGTGGTCACATTCCTCATTTCTCTGTTGAATAACCTAAAAAATGAAGGGAAGAAAAAAACCTGAAAACTCTGCTACTCGTTAATAACTGGAATGCTATTTTAAAGACAGGAACACATTTAGAGCAAAAAGGTTAATTCAAGAATGATATTTGCATCTTGGAAAATATTGTTTTCTATTAAGTATTTCTGATTTTAGAGAGTCTTTATAATTCCAGGTGAATAATTAAGACTTTGCTTAGGGCTTATTGCTCTTCGCATGAACAACACATTGAGTATCACCCAAATACAATTTCTAAAGCCTGAGTGAAATGCACTTCCTGAAATCAGGGGTCAAGGCTAAGGTTATGCTTGCTTTAACTGGTACTTGCTGGAAAACAGGACTCCTCCCTGCCGTTGAATGAACCTGTGGCAAATCTTGAATTATACAGACCACATGAATCCTTAATTGATAAAATCTGTTTGCAAGGTCTATAACAGAACAGCAAGTAGTGCTGACCAGAGGATGGGCATGTCACAGCCAGCCAGAAGAAAGGTGGATGGAGCAGATGTTTGAATATACAGTCCCTACACTTTTAGGCAGATTGTAAGATGAAGATAAATGGATAAAACTAAAAGTAATGTCAATCTTCTCCAAGCTGCATTCCATATTAAATAAATCACAGGAAAACCTTAGTCTTCTACATCAGTGGAATCTCAAATTAGTGTCTTGAATATAGCTGCTCACACTTTATTAATTTTACTCAAAGTTCATAAAAAGCAGGAAACTAATAGGGATTGTTTTGTTTGCAGTGAGAGTCATGCACTGCAGTATAATTAAAGCTAATAACTAATAGAATAATACAATTTACCTTGAGAGGCCAAATTCACCTCTTCTCAAGCTTAATTAGATTTAATGACTGGAACAGAACAATTCTATTTACACAGTATTGTTTAGTGGCAATTTTCTGGAACATGTTGCACCTGATTCTACTTTACCAGCTAATGTAGGCACCTAAAGGCTGAATGTATGAACAAGTTCAAATGCTAATGCTGATAAAACCTAACTTCCTCAAGAAACTCTGTTGGTAATCCATATGCCAGTGTGTGGCAAAGAGAAGTGGGAAATTATGAGTTAATAAAAGGTAAACCTCAGAAAAATTATATGGTGGTCATTTGAGGAAAACAAGCTATGTGTGTTTGTCTAGGAAAAAAGAACATAGTAGATGGAGACCTAGTTTTCCTCTGAATTTAGGGTTTAAAGGTTCTCCGTGTTCTTCCTCTTCTTTTAAATCATTATCCCTAAGAGACTGTGGCCATACTGAAGCCAGAACATACTTAGAGTCTCAGCTCTTACTTTCTGCCACTCATGCACACTCCCACAAGTTTTATTCTATTCCTAATATGATTGTGGCCAGGGATAGCTGAGATAGAGTAACCTTTTTCAAATGGTGTAGAATTATTACTAGAATTGATCTATCCTCCCAGATCATTTCCAGTCTTGGATCTTACTTCAAAGAGCTGCTCTTGCCGCAACTGAAATAAACACAAAATGCTTATTTTGAATGAAAAGCTTCTTAATTCAGCAAAGCAGTCCTAAAATTAATTTTTAAATATCTAATAATTATTATGGAAATGTTCATATTAACAGCACATCACCTTCCAGAGACAGTAATATTATAACCTACTGACCAAAGAGTCACTGCTGCAAATTTCCCAGGCATCTTCAAGTTTGTTTGCAACACTATTTTTGACCAGACTCCAGGGCATCAAGAAATGCCTGCTGTACTAGTGTATCACATTAGTGCAGCAAATGAACAACAGGCCAAACACATGAAATGTGTCAGATCTATGAGACAGCCACAGTGCCAGCTGTACTCTCCTGGTAAATCTGATATGCTGTGGACATGGCTGGTTTACTGAATTTGATCGTGGTCATCCATGCACAGACCCTTCTTAACAGATACTAGAATTACACCCCTCTCCAGCCTAAGAAAGCTACTGATTCATAACTTCCCACTGGATATGTAATTTCATGACGTTTTTTCTGCTCACATCATTCATGCACTATCTAATCTTCCCATCTCACCAGTTCATCCACCTTGTCAGCAAATTTAAAATAAGCATTTCTAACCATTAACAGAATGTCTTTCTCTATTCTTCCATATATATTGTCCCTTTTGCACAGGATCTATTTTTTGTATTGCTAGCTCCAAACTACGCATGTAGCAGACCACTAGATGCTACTAAAACTTCTTTGACATGAAACGAAGAAGAGAGGGAGTGAGCAAGTGGCTGTGTGGTTCGAAGTTACCGGCTGGGCTTAAACCACGATACAGAACTTGTTAAATTCTGTCCCTTCACACTTGTACCTACAGATCCAACCTAATTGGCCAAAGACCTGCCCTACATACTCTGTAGTAAGCTTAACTAGGATAGAACTTACCCATTGTTTCATTCTCCAGGCAAAGTTTGTAAGCCACGGAATTTCACTGTCATTTACATACTGTTGAAGAAGCCTCTGTTAAATGCTTGAGAAATGAAAGTTCAGCGACAGAAGCAACAAAGCCAAGAATCAAATGTAATTCTTCCTCCTCTGCGGTCTTAGGTGGTGAAGTGACATCGGTTCACCACATCTAAGAGCTCAATCACCATAGTAACTGCAGTTAAAAACTGAAGGGGAAAATCATTCTCCTGGTTTCAAAGAGAACATGTAACAACTGCTACCATTCCTGTGCTTTCCAGAGGGTATATCTTCAGCGTTAGTCCTTTCTTAGACACGTGAAAAGTCAAACCAATGTGTCAGAGAAGGACAATTGAGAGAACGGTTATTTTAAAATGACGTGGTTTAATGCATTTGGTGAGCTTCACACAAGACATTAAATCCAGCCAGTATCACTGTGATACAGCAGGTATAATGAACATGTGCTATCTGTTAAATTTCCACTGATGCACCTACATGACGAAACTCAATTCTATAGATATAAGCATGTCCCTGAGATACACTCATATCTCGGGACAGAGCCGGGGGGGGGGAAGCACAGATTGTCCTTGGACAGGGATCTTTTCCCATCAGATTGTGAAGATTAATACAAAGTCAGGGCTTTGCCACTTAAAGGTCAGCACACGATGAAATTCTTGATCTCTTCTGATCAAAACCAAGTGTGCAATGCTACTTGATGAATTTTACTGCAGCTGTTTTGGGGTGATCCTGAGGCAAAGTAGTTCTCTGTGTAAATGGTACCACCCTTAGCTTTGCACACCCAACATTAAAACTGTGAGAATATCTCTAAGTTTCTGGCTGCCCTTGTGTCAGAATTAGAGGCTGATCATGCTGCATGACTGACATCTTCATACACAGCCAGCATTTTAACGTGTGGTCAGTACTGCTTGTCCTGCACAAGTACTGAAGTAGTTTCTAGGTCAGCTCTCCAGCTGGTCACATCTTGGCTTTGATTTTTATATTGCCATTAGTAATGAGACAGTCTGAAATTATAATCTTGTCAAGGACTTCCCCTGATCTTTTTTTCATTTTATATTGTAAACCATCTTCCCTGTCCAAAAGAAAGACACTGAGAGTCTGCTCTCAGATAACAACAGAACTGCAAAAATCTGTTTTCACAACAGATTTCTGGGCTTTGTAGGATTGTACAACATTCTTTGTTGACCGGTACCATTTGTAGCTTTGAGGGAATCCCTGTCCTGACTTCACCTTCACAGGTTAGGCTCATTTATACACAACCAAGCTCTGACAAGTGAACCAAGAGAAGTCATAACCAGAGAGCTTCTAACAGAGATCTCATGTCAAAGCTGGTCACCAGCACCATGAAGTTTTTTAGTTCTCATACTGGTACTGGTGGAACTCAAATATTCTTAGGATGTTCTCAAAGTCAGGAACAATTCTTGGGACAATACCTGCTGCAAACATTATATAATCTTAGCTCTACTTAGCTAAAACTGAATTAGTGTATCAGGGAAGATAAAGCAAATTGCATTTGAACTAATTAATAATCCATGTCAACCTGGGCTTTCCTGAACTATAGAACTTCAATTCTGAATCCAAGTTCAAATCAAATGGCCTTCCTTTCAGTGCTAACAGAATTTAACAGAAACAAACTAAGACCTTTTACCTTTTTTTTTTCCCCTTGCCTTCAGCACACACATACCCTAGGTGTTAGAAGAAAGGGCACATTTCCTGAAGGACACCATTCTGGAAAAGGAAGCCCTATTATATTTTAGAAGAACATGTATGTGTGTGTGTATACGTATGTACGTTCCTTCCAACCTCTGCCATTCCATGATTCTGTGTAACCCACGAAACAAAATCAAATCACCTAATGAAATAAAACCAGAATTATTGTAAACAATTAAGATCTGCTACCACTTGCACAGAAGCTGGTAAGAAAAAGGTAAGAGAAATCCAAGCAAAATTGTATGAAAATACAGACTTAGAAGTGTGCATTCTCTCAAACAGATTTATATAAGCATTTGGTCTAAATAGGCAAAAAAGAAAAGTGACTAATAAAGCACTAAACATCAAACTCCAGATATCAACTTCACACTAATATAAAGAGAACTGCATAACTTACTAAACCAGACCTGTATTGGATTGTTATGTAAATGCTTTGGATAAAGAGGTCTGGAAGGACAACTTGTGAATCTCATCTGTTCTTGTAAGTTGGAAAGCAAGTCCCATAATAACATCAGAAACTTAGGGCTAGGCACTGAGGCTCTTATTAGTTAAAAAAAAAAAAAATTCCTCCTTAAGCAAAATTCTAACTAAAGACCAAATCAAAGATTTTACTGAAGAGGCATTGATTGGTCCACAAAAACAGGGAGTGAAAATCAACTCTTGTTTTTCTGTGCTGTGCTATTTCAAAGCATTACTAACAGTCTGAAACACGAAAGCATTAATCAAATTATGAGGCAAGGGATTGAAATGAAAGAAGTCAGCCAATTTTTTTCTCCTGTTCTCATTTTTTTGAACAGTGTAAAACTAGCCAGGTACCACGGTACCACAATGGCAGGCTTACTCTGCTGTAATACTCCCACCATGTACCATTAATGATTAATAGTTGACCTGTCAAGTAATGGAGGGAGACTTTCATTGTCTGTGGGGATAGGCTGCAAATTTTGGCACTCTGACCTTGCAGAAACAAGTAACTGATTATTCCCTGCATAACTACCACTGTAGCTTCTGAGTACCTGTGGAGTAAAGCACTATTTAATGCCATTAAAGGTGTCAAAAGCTAGGATTATTAACCAGCAGAGACAACAAAGGTTCAGGGTTGAGGGCACATGACTTTCTAATAGAGACAAGGGAAAAAACAGGGTAATAGATAAAATAAAATAAAATACAGACAATATGTACTTTCTCCAGGTTAGAGGTAACACTAATTTTTAGGCACCTATATGCTTTTGGCTCAGCCAGTCTGTAAGCATAGTTTGGATTTAAATTGAACTTTGTGCTCACTTACAGTAGGTTTGACCAATAGTATTAAATTTTGATTTAATTACAGTACAACAATAAAATTTCCAGAAAAGCCTAAGAAAGTCACATGAAAATGAGAAGTAAATTTATAATTAATACCTATATTTAAACCTCTTCAGAACATGTATTATTTCTCCTCTGCCCTGCTGATCACTTTTGTCTTTGCATGACCCCTTGACTATACTGGCAGAACTCTCTCTGAGAGAAAGAACACCAAACCACATAAAGGCATAGGTGTAATAAACCCAGAAAAAAATAAATGTTATTTTAATAACCCAGAAAAAAAAAAAGTTATTTTGAACCCAGTTCACTTCCTCAGTCTAGTTGATTTTATAGCTTGACAACAGCTGGAGGGATACAGCTGAAGAAGCTGCCATAGGACAAGCTTAAGCAGAGGAGGACGGAGTAAGTTGCCTGTGCTACCAAAAGAAATGCTTGTCAATCAACAGCTTCAGCACTCTTGCAGCCAACTTTCCAACACAGTCCTCCTTGTCTGTCTCAACACTTTGAATAAACAGGGACATAAGAGGAAGACTGTTTTGATTCTGTTGCATCCTTCCGTACTGAGTACTAACACCTGCTGTAAATGTTTGAACTATGGATTTCTACAAAGTAGAATCTAAGCAAAGACATCAAGTATATCACCATCACTATACAGAACTAGCCATTCAACCTGAGCTAACTTCACTTCTCTTCTGATTTTCTTTATTTGACAAAAGTTTTCAGCGTGCACATCCCTTCAGACATTACCTTCATATCTATTTCTGTACCATGGATCTGTTGAGCTACTGTTTTGATGATGCCAATGACAATATCCTGGAGACCTTCTCTTTCCGAATAGTAATGCAGAATGAGTCCCTTCCCCTTCTCTGCATCAGTACATCTGAAGGAAGGGGCTCGCATGCCTGGGTAAATAGTAGCAAGGTGGTCATGCAAAGCATCCAGGTTCTGGAAGAAGAAATTGAAAACATGATTATAAGGCATTCGCTTATTAGTTCTGAAGAAAGTATGTCCATACTCTGTCTAATTTGAATATCTGCTTTCTCCTACTGCTCACACTCCCTGTGCATTTGCCATATGATTTATAGAAGTGTCATCATAACAGGCTTTTCAGGTAGCTTGTGATGTTCTTTCCATCTACTGTGGCAATCAAAATTAACACTATTAAAAATTACTCCAGTCAGTAAGAATTCATCCCTGACCATGCTGTATTTTCAAACATTCTGATGATTAAAGACTCTGTGGGTGTTTCCCAAACCTGTACCTTAACCATTTTTATCCCTCCTGATTCTAGTCCCTATAATTTCCTGTTAAGATGCTAATTTAGGTGTCAAATACAAATAACCATGTCTGAGTAAACATGAATCTTTTTCCTTATTTTCAATGAAAATGCCTAGTTCTGACATTTGTAACAGTCAACCTAAGTTTACAGGACCTGAGAAAGTTTCAAATTTTAATGTAAAGACAAAAATGACTGAAAGACCAACTTCAAATACACATTTTCTTTGAGAATAATTGGGAAAAAAACCCCCACAGAATACATAGCACATATCACAGCTGCTGTAATCATGTTTCAGAAAAGATTATTCAGGAAAAGGAAGAAGTCTTCTATTTTTCCAGTTAATGTCCTGGACATCTTACGAATTGAACTTTAAATCTTGACCAGAAAAAGGATAGCTAAATGATAAATTGATAGGCATAACTAATAAAAGGACATTAATGACAACAATGAGATCAAAATCACACTTAGAACACAAGACTAGCTCCAGCTTTGATTGTGAAGCAATTTTCAAGGCTCCAGGTTGCTATTTACTGTGTATTTAACACAGTAAGAGTAACCTAGCTTGCTGGATAGTGTTGCAACCCACACAATTTTTTACCTGTATTGTAAAATTCATACAGCTCCTTTACACCTTAAGTCCAGAAGATTACTGAATATTTTAAATGTTGTTTTCTTGCCCTCCCAAGTAAGTGCTAGCACCAGGCTCTGCATGTTGTTTTCTGCCAGCACAAGAAGTGAGGTGAAAATATTTTCAATGTGCTGTCTGGGACATTCTCCACCTTTCCTGAGCATCTGTCAATTATCAAATTTGTGGAAGCATACTAAACTTGATTTCATGTGAGTTGTGAAGTGCTTGGACAGCTGCCTCTTCTGGGAGGCTTTTAGAGGAAATAAGATGCTTAGAAATGAATTCCGTAGGATGTACTCAGCCTGGAACTTCCTCCTTCAGTTTTTTGGTTTGTTTCAAATTTATGTTTTTGTTGCTATATCAACACCTCCAAATTAAAACTTGAGGAGGCAACAATCTGGGAGTAAATTCATTCCAGCTGTTACTGGGTATTCAATTGCAATTGCCTGAAGGCAAATTCTGCAAGATCTTTGCAGAGTTCAAGACAACGAAATGGAAAGAGACTGCTTTGGAAGCATGGATGAGAAAAGACCAAGAGATCTGACTGGCTCTGAGGGAGTGTCCCACAATGTCCTTAACTGGGTACAGATATGCTCTTTCAGCACATATGTCTCAGAAACAGCTGGGATATATTGACCTTTTGGAAAAACTGCTGCAGAGATACGTGGGAAAAGACAACAATCTTTCAGTTACAGTCATCAACACCTGAAGAATTTAAAAAGGAGTTCATTATGGCCAGTATCATGGCCAGAATTTTATTAAGATGGTTGTGTAATTATTAACATTTAAGTCCAACACAAGTATTGCTAACATCTGGCACTAGCCCCATTCTGCAAGACCACTTTGCCAGCCTGCTACCCCACTACTGCTGACTTTGTCCAAGAAGTGTCATAGGTGAACCCGTATGATATGCCCTTTAGTCTTTACTCGCTAATCATCCAGAGGGCAGACTTGCTCAGGATGTATTGCAGCTGCTTTCTAGTCCCCCATGTGTCTTTTCTCCCTGTGCATACAGATTACGGGTCGAGCAAAGAGCTTACAGTATTCAGAACCCTGCTCCAAGTCAAGAAGCTGTAGAGATGTGCTTCCAGATCAAGGAGCTGAAATCACTCCCAGACCCTGCCATTTAGACACTGTCATTGTGTCATTGTCACTCCCACTCTTTTTTTTGTGTGTGTGTGTGTTTGATCGATTCTACATTGATATTGCAGCTTTTGGAAGAACAAATGGGTGGGTTTTTCTAGTTCGTTTACCTGCTGTGGGCCAGAAGTGTGATCAGGTACAGATAATAGGTTAAGCTCTCTGCCTGAATTCTTGGCTCCTAGACTGCTTAGATATACGCCAGAGCTTCTGCTGGGACCAGAGACACTAATTCTAGCAATCTGGAGAGCAGGGATCAGCTCCATGGTGAAACACAAAGGGATCTTCAAGCAAGAACAAGCAGTGATACTAAATCAGGCAGATCCTGGCCTGCCTAAAAGCGAAAGACTTGTGACTGGCACCTGAAATACAAAGATACACTGTTCAGCTCTGTGTGGTACAGAGCACCTGGAAACTTTCTAAAAGAGGAGTTTGTCTCCTGAAATTTATTGCACTGCCATTACGAACAATTAAATAGCCATGTAAATGATTCCCTAAATGAGAGAACTAACCACTACTCCAGTGTTTGATTTTCATTCAGTAGAAAGCTACACACTGGGTTTCTTAGGAGATACCTCTTTTCATACTGCTTCTCTTGGGCACAGTGTCTTTCAGTATGATTTGCAATTCTTCCAGGCCTGTGTTTTTCATAGATAGTATAAATACTAGATCTAGTTGCATCTTTTTTTTTTTACATCTTTCATGAAGTTTGAAGTACCTGTGTTTCGTCTATGAATAAACTACATTTTATCTGAGATGTCAAAGGAAACAGAACATAAAGATGAGATTTATTTTCACATGCCTTAAAAAGCCACAGCCCTCAATTATTTCATGTATCCCAACTTAGTACAGATTTTTAGAAGCACCTTTTGGAATTCTATTTTAAGAATCTGACACAAGTTCAGCACATCAAACTCAGTCTGCACCTATTTTTGTAACAGGTGTATGAATTAGTTTCCTGACCTAATCTGACTGCTGGAAGATGCACAAATAATAAATCACAGGTAACGCTGATTTTTCATCAGAACAAAAAGCTAAAAAGTACACTTCTGGCACAGCTACTAGTACATTAGTCCTATAAAAATTTACAGAGGTATATAATAGCCAATGTCATCTGTTAACACTGAAATTCAAAGCAGCTTAAAATATTGTCATTAGAAGAAAATAAATGTAAGCTGTTCACACTTCTATAAATGTTTGGTGTGTACTACAAACATGCAATCTTTTCATCATCACACATGATTAAGGAATGGAAGGAAGTATATTGTATGGAAAAGGACATGAGGGAAAGGAATAGAGAAGGACTGTCCCATCCATGTATACCCACGGTGATGAAGCAATGGGCCAGCTACACCCTTTCTTTCCTCCTCCCCTATTCTTGCACAACCCTAACTGCAACTTCAATACGAGTCATCTTTAGAAATCACATTTATCTGAAAGCTTGCTTTGAGAGCGGCCTGTGAATGAAGCCATGAAATACAAAGGACGTCACATCCCATAGACAGACAATAGTACACAGATCACACATGGGATGTGCATGTTGGAGGGTACACATCCACTGTCTGCCCAGCAGTTACAGTCCATGGGATCTGTACAAGAAGTCTGGGTTGACTACATCTAGGCTGCTCTGTAATAATCCAAGTTATGAGGTAGGTAGTGAGACACAGAAGTAAATATTCTAGCAATTCAGCAACCTGTGCACTCTGCTCTTTTCACTTATTATTGCTGGAGACATTTAAAGGGAACAGATTACAAGAGGCTGCTAAATTTCCAGTGAAAATCAAGAGAGATATGTCCTGTGAAATCTTAATGAGTACTTTTAAACTCATTATAACACACAGTTCTCTCCAAAAGTGAAATATGTGACAAATCTTAAATCCAAAGTGTTTTTCTGAAGTTAGCAAATTTCAAGTGACAAAAAAGGGAAGTCCATTTTTTCTACACTTAAAAATCACACTTCAGAGAAGCAACTGCATTTCTTTCATGCTACTGAGAAACTGTTTTCATTTTGTTTTGGTTTACAGTGCCGTATCATGCTGTTCTGCAGTCAGGAAAGCATAAAAATTTACTTTAACACTGCTACTCTATCCCATCCATACTTCAGGGACAAAGAATAATGTCTTTGAGATAAGCTGTGTATGAGCTCTAGCTCTGTACATAATGTACAATTAGAAATAATCAGTAGCTATAGTTAGTCCAAGAGAACTTAGAAGAAGATATACCGTACAAACCTGAAGACCGCATTTTCTGTTAGTATAAGGAAGCTAAGTCTTTTTACTTAACACACACAGACAGTGTAGACTGGTGGGTTTTTCCATGTTTCTTCTACCCCATACTTCTGTTATACGTAAGAAATCCTGTTCAACACTTTTTTTTTTTTTATTTCAAATGAAATTTCAGATTTAGGAATGCCTCTGCAACCCCAGGTTACATGCCTTCTCACTCATTTATAAAATTGAACAGTTAAAGATGCTATGGAAAATTATTACTCTATCAGGTACCTGAATACTGTATTAACTGAAACGGAAAGAAAATACCAGCACTAAAATTGCTGAGCAGTGCAAAGCGCTATAAAATACAAATACCAAGGAATAAAGTTTTCAGATGCCTCTCTGCAAATAACTGGGAGATTACAGAGTACAACCTGTATTCCCAAATCTCAATCTAATCTGCTGACTAGATCATACTTTCACCTGGTATCTGAAATAATTTGTCACAAAATTCTTACCTGCAAAAACTCTCTGACATTCGAGCCCAAGACACGTAGAATTGTATCATAACCAGATTCTTGACAAAACACAAAAAACATCTTCCCAAACATTTGAAGAATTTCCCCAGCATTCAGATCTAGTTAAAACAGGAAAATACCATTAAGTTCAAATGCTGTATTTCATGCACTTTGCTTACCCCATCAGTTTCATATTCATAAACAAGAAAGACAGTACCTAAACTGTACCTAGATCTCAGATCAAGAATATGAGAAAAACAAGATTCGGGGTCCACATGGCACATAAGTAGTATTGAATATAGGAATTTCATTAGAATTTACCAATTACCATTATGACTTTGCTGCATTGTGCATTTCATGCATTTATAGAATTTTAGATTTTGATTCAGGTAAGAAATCACTACTTGAAAATAAAGGAACTCAGTTGTTAGTAGTGCTCACTACTACTAACTGCTTGTAACACTGATCATGCCGTGTGGATAAGGTGTATTACTACAGTTTAAGGTGTTCCTGTAACTTGGAATACTTTGGAAGTAATAAAAATCGATTTAAGGAATAAAACAAATAAAAATATCTTAAATAGAATAAATAAACTACTTTCTTCTGAGATTTAAAAACAAAATTCTCTTTGACCACTATCCTGTTTTCACTTCTTCTGTGTTAAATCCCGTTTCTCTCTGCTATATTGATTTATTTTTTTTGGGGGGGGGAGAGGTTTTTTGTGGGGTTTTTTTTTTTTTTTTTGGTGATAAATGGACAAAGAAGATATCCTTATTACTTACTAAGGACCTTGCTTGCAGCTGCAACCAGATCATAGGTCTTGGAATCATCATAAATGATTCTGACCAGAAACTGTCCTTCTTCATCCAGCTGTGCCTCCTTCCTAAAAAGAAAATAGCATAAAAGTTTTTTGGCTGAGGCAGAAGCGCCATATTGATAAATCGATTATATATTGTTTGGTACTAACTAGTGCCTTTTAAAGAAACAAGTTTGTAGGTTCTACCTTTAAGAAGTTACTTAAGATAGAAAATGAGAAATAAATCTGTTCCATATCTCTGAGTCATTAAGGTACAACACAAATATTTCAGACCACGTGTACTCTAAATCAATAATTAGCTGTGAGAAAATAAACACGATTTTTCAGTACAGAGCCTCACAACAACGACAGAATTTCCATTTTAAAGTAGGGGACTATCCAATAATCCAAACCAAGATGGGATCTTCAAACACTTTTTAACCAAGTGTTTTCTTTCCTTCCAATTTTGATTACACTTTATTTACAAAAGGCATGGAATGTTTTTAATAACCATTTGCACGTATCTTCAAAGAGGAATTTAAAACTAACACGTAGGTACCTAATCAAATACCTTTTTTTTTTCTGAATTTTGCACATGCCCAGTAGACAGGAAAAGAAAAAGCATGCTAGGATTTTGTAAGGGCTTGTTCTTGCATTGCACGCTACTTTCATGAGTAAAAGCATAATAAAAATATACATATCTTCACTAAAGGAAACAAATCTCAACCCCAGGTTTAAGACAAGACTCATGCATATATCACATGCACATTTACTCTTACTAGTGCCGCTAAGTAAAAAACCAAAATGACTCCTTCGTTTTTCAGGATCATTTCTTATTCCCTTCAGCTTGAACACTGAGTCAGCAGCTTGTCCAAAAGGCAGCACAACTTTGTAAGCTTTTTTTGCTTACAGCAGCATTTCCCCATCACATGCAGTCTTAAAGCTAATAAAATACTTCAGAAAGAAAAACTTTCACAAGTTCTCACTGCTGTCAGGTTACAGAGGGAGGCAGAAAGGCCCCAGAAACCGCAGACCCGGCCCACTGGAGAAAGGGCAAGTCAGTTGACTTCAGTGAACCTCCTATTCTGTCCTCAGCCACTCCATCTGGCTACATGTTGTTCTGTATGCACAGCAACTCCTGTGACAAGGCGATGAAGCAGACAGGGAAATCCATCCAGCAGAAAAATAACCCAGGATAATAAACACCTAACTGAATTACATTTTAGCTCAGCATCTAGCTGAGTGATTGGGATGTAGCAGCACAGGAGGGTTTAGAGGTATGGAGAAGGAATTGTCCTGGAAAGGAAGAAAAAAATTTAATAATTTTGAAGCACAGGCTTTAAAAAGGCAGTTTATCTTTTGACACAGATTTAGATGAGACATTGTCATGGGATTTACTATCTGTGTAGGACAAGTAAGAGATTTTTGCCCACACGGTTGTAAGTGAGGAGCATAATCCCCTGCAGGAGTAAATATTTAATCTGACAAATTTTCTGGAAAAAAATTCACAAAACAAATTAGCTTCTGTTGGATTACAGTTTCAAAAAAATGTATTCTTCTCTGTCTTTTTAAAATAAAAATAATTAAAAAGCAGGATATTTTTGTTGCTGTTTTGGAGTATTAGCCTGCACTACAAGCACTGGGTCCTTTTCCTGTACTGCAGGAATGCCTAGCAAGGCTCTTAATACTGGGGGATAGAGAAGCCTGAGAGCAGTGAGTTTCACTCCAGAAGATTATATCCAAGGAATGCAGATGTGATTGCTGATTGAACTATTTTTTGTTTAACTTTATCAATAAAGTTGTTTTACTGGGAAATACAGCATTAAGGCTGCAGAGAAGATGGCTGCTGAGCGATCGAAAGGATCTAGAGAAAACTGAAGAAAAACAAAATAGCTAAAATAATCTAAATGGAATAGGCTTGAAATAACCACTGATTATTTTAAAAAGTGGTGTCTCTGAAAATCTGCAGGCATTGAAGAAAAGCTTTGAGAAAGTAAACTAAAATCAAAACAAGAGAAAAGGAAGCATGGCTTGGCACAGAGAAGGAAACAGGAAAAATTCCAGTCAATGTAATTGGAAAGAAATGTAAGAAGTTTTGAAGGAGATACCAGTGTCATAAAACTGGGTCAGTTTTTAAGAGAGAAAATTCTCACACACAGAAACTGTGTCTACTGGACTGGTCAAGTATGCATTATTTTTGAGGATGTTCATGGCTTTTCCAGATGTGTGTGTTATCCTTTGTGGTCTGGCTGAGATCAGAGAGACTGAAAGAAAGCACAGTATGTATCAGACATGTGGGAAAGTTTGTTCACCCTTTGCAAACTTCCCTCCAAACTGCATATGACTTCTAGTTACACATCATGTTATGAGAATCAAAGAACTGAGATGGTTTTCTTCTAATAATAATTTTGATTCAGTTCTTAGGAAATGTAAACTCTACCTTCTTGTTCCTGACTGATCTCGTATGCTTCAAGACAGTGTTTCCCACTAATAACTCCAGCTCTCCTTTTACTTGGGAAAAGAAGGAATATGGGAGCTGTTTTCAAGAATTAGAGACCTGATATCCTAGAATCATAGAAGCATAGAATGGTTTGTGTTGGAAAGGACCTTAAGATCATCTCCTTCCAATCCCCCTGCCATGAGCAGGGACATGTCGCAATAAACCATGTCGCCCAAGGCTCTGTCCAACCTGGCCTTGAACACTGCCAGGGATGGAGCATTCACAACTTCCTTGGGCAACCTATTCCAGTGCCTCACCACCCTCACTGTAAAGAACTTCTTCCTTATATCTAATCTAAACTTCCCCTGTTTAAGTTTGAATCCATTATCCCTTGTCCTACCACTACAGTCCCTGATGAAGAGTCCCTCCCCAGCATCCTTATAGGCCCCCTTCAGATACTGGAAGGCTGCTATGTGGTCTCCACGCAGCCTTCTGTCACACTTGCAGAGCTGCTGTGGTTGGCTGTCCACCAACATCAATTCCTCCAGTGGAACACAGGTGTTTTTACCTCCATAATCTATGAGTACCACGTATGAAAACAAACCTGCCTTTGTGGAACAAGGTATGGCTACAGACCTGAACTTTGAAAGACCAGAAGGCTGCAATTGTTCTCACCCAAACAGCTTCCCTCTCCTGGCTGATAGATGGTTCATGAGCCGGGATTAGAACTGCAATATTACACAGCATCCTTAGATGCAGAGAATTTAAATCTGGCTGACCATATTTCATAGAAAACTTCGTAATCCTTAGTTTTATGAAAAACTGTGGCATTTCCCCTGAAATGTTTTGCTGCAATTCCAGTTTTTCACCAGATAAAATTATGGGAATACATTAGCATTGCTCTCATGTTTTCTGCAGACTGCAGTGTTTGATCACAAAGGCATTAACAGCAACAACATGTTGGTGGCTTTCTTAAAGGCTTGACTGGAAATGAGCCAAAAGCAACAAGCTCTGGCAAATTCCCAAGCCCTGGTTAATTCTTTAGTGAAGCAGCAGCACTATAGTAGCAAACTGCTAACTTCTATATGGCCTTTCTCTCAAAGTAATTTCTAAGTCAAATTGAACAGAATTTACAATTAATGTCTCATTGTCCTGGGTTCAGCTACAGCAGTCATTTTTTCTCCTTCTTAGTAGCTGGTGCAGTGCTGTGTTTTTGACTTTCAGTCTGGGAACAATGCTGATAACACCGATGTTTTTAGTTGTTGCTAAGTAATGTTTACTCTGACCAAGGACTTTCTCAGTCTCATGCTCTGCCAGAGAGGAGGGGAAGCCAGGAGGAAGCAGAGGCAGGACACCTGACCCAAACTGGCCAAAGGGGTATTCCATACCACAGCACGTCATGCCCAGTATATAAACTGGGGGGAGTTACCTGGAAGGCCCAGATCGCTGCTCGGGTCAGGCTGGGTATCTGTCAGTGGGTGGTGAGCGGTTGTGTCTTTTTCCCTTGTTATTCCTCTTATCATTATTATTGGTAGCAGTAGTGGTTTGTATTACACCTTAGTTACTGGAGTGCTGTTATCTCAACCCGTGGGAGTTACATTCCTTCGATTCTCCTCCCCATCCCTTGGAAGGAAGATGGGGGTAGTGAGAGAGTGGCTGCGTGGTTCCAAGTTGTCGGCTGGGCTTAAACCACGACACTCATTTACATTTCTAGAGACAAAAGAAGGATGTGCTTTTCTTCTAAAAAAATCCATGAATTTAACATTCTTGCCCAAACTGAATCCTGTTATCAGCACATGGGATGTGATATTCCATGGTTCAAAACTTACATCCTATGTTAGGCCTGCCCTAACTGCTATGGTCTGGCAGCCCTTTTTATTTACTCTAGACTAATTCTGAATGATTACACAGAGCTATTCGAATTGTGGGAAACAAAGATTCCAGCCCAGACTTTCCTAAAATGCCCTTTGTTTTCCTCCAGAATGTTTATATTATCCAGGTTAATGTGAGGAAGTTTACTTGGGGAAAAAAGAACCTTAACCATTGCACCATGGAAAATAACACAGCTATAAAGAGGCCATTTTTCATGTACAAATTTGACCTTGAAATCAATGGAAAAATTCCTACTGAGTAGGTCAAAGCAGGATCAAGTCTTAAAGCAGCCTTTCCTCCATCAGTTATGCTAACACCTCCCAAACTGCTGTTGCTCTAACAGCACAGAATAGTGCAAAAGGCAATACTACATGTGTACAATGGGCCCTTAGAAAATCTTCCAAAATTGTGAAACTGGTTTAGTATTTGTAAACACACTACTAATGTTTAAAGGTAATGTTAATAATGCAGATTTTTAAACCACAGATTGCACACTTTTTTATTTCACATAAAGAAAGTATTTTCTCTATTTTGACATAGTAAGGATTTTTTTTTGTCATCTTTAAAGATTTTACAGACAATGTGGTTGGACAAGATGCCACATCAGGTTGATCTTATTTATGCAGCCCACTGTGTACAACGTGATTTTTAATGTAGTTTTGCAAATGGATTGTAGCAGGTTGCTGCTGTCAGAACTTTTTTATTCCTGTGAAGGAGCACTTGCTATCCTGTCTTTGTAGGCAGTCACAAAGCTGGAATTAAAACAAACAATCTT